TGTTCGAACCCCGTGCAGCGCGGCTACACGGGGCACGAACTAGGTAGTTCGAACTAGGCTTCCTAGTTCTAACTACCGTTACTCCTCATTTCACGAGGAGTAACGGTAGTTCGAACTAGGAAGCCTAGTTCAAACTACCTAGTTCGTGCCCCGTGTAGCCGCACTGCACGGGGTCCGAACCAGCGGGGTTTTAAAAATGGCGGGTCCCCCCCTTTGGGAATTTAAAAATGGCGGCGCCCAGTTTATGCAAATGAAGCCCGGGAAATTCAAATCCCGGGCTTCATTTGCAAGTGCGGAATGCCTACATTACCCCGCTAGTTCGAACTAGCGGGGTAGTGTAGACATACCCTTAGAGGTGTAGATTCAGGTAGCATAGAAGTGAGGATAAAGGCAACCTTTTAGCCAGGACCTTTGGTGAAAACACAGAAGGCAAGCAGGTCTAATCAATGCCCCCCAGAAGCAAGACCATGAGTGCTGCTTCACAGATCTAGATACTGAGATACTGACACGTCTCTTGTTCTTTACCAGGGATGAGCCTGTCCCAGACGGCCAGTGATCAATCCTGCCAGTGTATCAGCACAGACTCCAAGTTCATCCCCCCCAGAAGGATTCAGGACGTGACGCTGACCCAGAGTGGCCCTCACTGCCAGAACATGGAAATCATGTAAGCACTTTTGCCAAATTCTAACTGCTGCCAAATAGGAGGAGGCTGCTGCTTTGCATTGTGCTGCTCCAGGAGCTTTCAAAGCCCCATGTGACTCAGGGAGACTCCCCCAGGAATGTTTCCTTTTAAATTCTTAAGAGATTATGTTGGGTACTGCAATTTGCTTTTCATAGTGTCCAGTACCACTGGGGTGGAAACACAAATCCCAGGGAGGGGTAATGTACATTAGGCTATAAAGTACTAGAACCTGCATTAAACCAATTCCTGAAGTCCTTCTGCAAGTAAAACTCCCACTAAAAATCCTTATTAATCCTTGTGTATAACAGAAAAATGAGGCCATTGCACAAGTCTGGACAAGTGCTGATGAAATAGTGAGCAGCTCTACTGTAAAGGACAAGTATCCTGGACTTGATGCTTCTCCCATTCTCTCTTTGGGAAACTCCCATAGACTGGAATGGTACAGGATCAAGCGCCACGTTTCAGTCTTTGCTCACCCAACATCCTCCACTGTGTCCTTAGGAAGTTTCCCTGAAGGAACAATGCAGATATCAGCTTTTCCAGAAAAAGCAACATAAGTGCAGATAAACACACCGTATATAAATAATTTGACTGCATTAGAAAATATAAGCAGGGCTGTGCTTTTTATTTTCTTGGCAAGCCTGGAATGCTTTCAGCCAAACAAATGACGTGGGGCTAGACCCTCCGCTGTATTAATTGGTGTAACTCTCTAGTGAGATCAGTGGAAACCATGTCAATCCGTACCAGCCATGCCTTGGTCTTAAAAGATTTAAAGATCCCCTGATGCGAGTACTGAGAGTCCACCAAATAGGTAGATGCTTAACCATCTTTGTTTCCCTTCTTTGCAGTGCTACTCTGAAGGACGGCAGAGAAGTGTGTTTGGAACCCACCGCTCCATGGGTGAAGCTGATCGTTAAGGCAATTTTGGACAAGTGAGTTGTTTGTCCTCAATTACTTTAAAGGAATAACTAGGTACTTCTTAGCACAAACTGTTTGAGGGTTACTCCTCAGGGAATAGCAAGTTGTCACAGAACTTGTCTCTCAATCTAGTCAAATAATAGCAATATCCTACCTTAAGGGAGGGCTGGTGGTTAGATTATAGACCTGAGGTTCTTCCTGGTCTCTGCTTTGCCTCAAGCTTCCTTGGTGAGCTTGTTTAAGTCATATGTGGCTGGAAGGGGAGAGATCACATGAGGATTACCTATTGAGATCCCTCCCTCTGGGGCATCTGGTATTGGCCACTGTCAGCAGACAGTATACTGGGCTAGATGGACCTTTGGTCTCACCCAGTATGGCCGTTCTTATGTGGCCATTAGCAACGCAGGGCAGCTGCTTGTCTTTCTGGAGACAATGGGACTCATAGGTGCTCAGTACTTCTGAATATCAGCCCCCACTCTCCAGCCTGATTTCCCTGTTGGTGTAAATCAAGAGTAACTATGTCAAATTTAATGATGTTTCACCATTGTGGTGGAGAGCAAGATTTCTCATGTTCTGGGCAGCGAGATAGGGTGCTAACCCCAGCATCAGTACTTGTGAAAATATGGGTCTCACCTTCTGCCCCACTGAGAAACATGCAGTACAAAGAAGCTGGTAATTCACGGGTCTTGAGCTAAGCTATTCAGATGCCTTCTGTTGAGCCCATTTGGTTCTAACTAATGATAATTGTCCTGTCACCAAGTTTCTAAACTATTCCTTTTCTTCCTTTCTTTACAGAGCTCAAGCCAATGGTGAAACAATGCTGTAAGAAAAGCCAAAGAAGAAAAACCACTGCTGTTCTCCAGTTTCCTCATGAAGGAAACATCTCTCTGAAAATGCTGGCTAGTCTGTAAGCATTCTGTCTCCTTCTGCTAGCACCATCTATTCATTCATTTACTGAGAAGCATCGTTAAGAGACTTTTTAAAAAATGTCTTCTAGAATATGGGACTTTGGAAAGCTGAGAAAACTGGATAGGGAAAAGTGATTTGCTGATGAAATGAAGACTTGTTGGAAATGAAATAACAGACGCTGTTAAGACACGGTTATTTGGAAAAAAAACCCTTCTCTCGAAATAACCCTTATTCCCAGGGCTCAACAATTAATGTAATCTACACGCCCATGTTTAGTAGATTTTAGCCTGGCGTGGCCAAGCAGAGCAGTTAGCGCATGCACAGCGCGTGGAAGTGCGTGGCTTGCGAGCGAGGCTTGCTGTTGTTTGGCGAGTCCTGCTTATTCCTCATACAACGAGGTTTACCAGTTATTTTGAGAGAAAGGTTTTCTCTTGAAGTAACCACGTCTTAACAGAATATGGGTATGTCTACACAGCAAAGTTATTTCGAAATAACAGCCCTTATTTCCAAATAACTTTCCTAGCATCTACGCAGCCAAACTGCTATTTTGAAATAAATAAGCGGGTGCTTATTTTGAATTTGGTAAACCTCATTCTACAAGGAATAACGCTAAATTCGAAATACCTATTTTGAAATAAGTGCTGTGTAGACACTTATTTCAAAATAGGGTGCCTCCAGTATTCCGAGGGAGCCCTGGTGGCCACTCTGGCCTCCACCAAGAACACTCCACTCCCTCCCCCGCTCCCTGGAGCCCTTAAAGGGGTAGGCTGTGGCCACAGTGCCTGTTCCACCTCCAAGCCTGCCAGCCCAGAGCCAGCAGTCACTGCCCCTAACCCAGTGGTCCCAAAACATGAGCTAGCAAGCCACTGGCATCAGCCCTCCACCACTCCCCAGGAGCAATCTGCCAGCTCCCAGGAGCTTGCCAGGTCCAGGAGAACGTGGGCGTCTTCCTGGTCTAGGGTGGAGATCATGGACCTTATTCAGGTTTGGGGGGGTTGCCCCCAATGTCCATGATCTCTGCACTAAATGGAGGAGTGCGGCCGTCTATGGCAGGATAGCTGCCAGCCTGGCCACCAAAGGCCACAAGCCAACCACGGAGCCTGGTCG